TAATGAGGTATAAAGACAGTTCAACTACAATACAATCAAGTTCAACAGCCGTAACATTGAAAAGAACTGACAGGGGCAATATAGTGCTCTGTTATAAACTTTAAGTATTAAAAGTGCACTTTAGCTTTGTCATGTATTACAGTATAGTAGATGTGTTTCTGTAGTTACTTATACCTCTGAAAAGTGTGATACAATCAGTGGTGTAAAGTGACTCATTACAAATACTCAAATTACTGTAAATCCAGTAGTTTTCTCAGGAATTATACTTTTCTGAGTAGTATTGAAGATGTGTACTTTTACTTTCCCTTGAGTACATTTTTACTGCAGTATCAGTACTTTTACTCCCCTACTGTCCTTTAGTCTGCCGTCACTACTGTCCTGTAACTCCTGTCCAATCAAAGCACACATAGAAGATAATTCACCTTATAATGAACTACCTGAAGACATGAGCGATATATAACTGCAGTAAACTGTGTGGAAGCATTAAAAGTGGCCAAGAAGATGTCCAAAATCTCTACACACACTGACCCAGAGACTGTTTACTGTATGATGACCCAAATGGCCTTAAGGGAGCACACACACACACACACACACACACACACACACACACATACACACACAGATAAATCTTACTTAAACTATATTCATATACAGTTGAAGTCAGAATTATTCGCCCCTCTTATATATATATATATATATATATATTTTTTTTTTATGTTTCCCAAATGATGTTGAACAGATTGAGGAAATGTTCACAGTGTGTCTGATAATATTTGTTCTTCTGGAAAAAATCTTATTGGTTTTATTTCGGCGAGAATAAAAGCAGTTTTTAATTGTTTAAACAGCATTTTAAGTTCATTATTATTAGCCTCTTTAAGCTATATTTGTTTCTAATAGTCTACAGAACAAACCATTATCATACAATGACTTGCCTAATGACCCTAACCTGCCTAGTTACCCTAATTACCCTAGTGAAGCCTTTACATGTGACTTTAAGCTGTATAGAAGTGTCTTGAAGAATATCTAGTCTAATATTATTTACTGTCATCATGACAAAGAGAAAATAAATCAGTTATTAGAGATGAGTTATTAACACTGTTATGAGCAGAAATGTGTTGGAGAAATCTGCTCTCTGTTACACAGAAATTGGGGGAAAATAAGCAGGGGGGCGAATAATTCTGACTTCAACTGTATGTTTATGCATGGCCAAATATGAACATGTATATGAAATTATGACTAATATATATGAATTCCAATAGTTTAAATAAACATATAAGTGGCCATTTTTACAATTTTTCAAAATATAAGTCGCACATTTGACATTTTATAGATGTAAAGTACAAATTTGACCTTGAATGTCATGTATGTATTTTGCATATACCAGATTTGTAAGTGGGCATGACGTTATTATAACTCTTCTGAAGAGACGCAACACACATGCTCAGCTTTCATTCCCACAATGCTCTTCTTCAGTGGGAACATGAGCAGATCATCTAACACATATCTCTCCTAACGGCGTCCAATCAGAGTGCAGCAGCAGACATTATTAGAAGCTGATTGGCAGAGCTCCAGCAGAGTCACGCATACATAAGCGAGAGAGAAACGGTGATAAGGACACACAGGCTCCTACACAACTGAGAATATCCACAGACTGACATAACACACACTTCTGTTCTGAGCAAACACACAACAACCTTAATCTTAATTTAAAACATTATATGACTAAATATTTCATTTAAACAACTTTAAAAAACATTAATATATACTCGGAGAGGACAAAATGGCATCTAAACAGGCTGCAAAATGTGTGTTTTCCATAACAAATGATTAATCAACTAAATTAATTTGCCTTCTTTAAATATTTTCCTTTTTACTCTTGTTGTTATTATAATTATATAAGTATGAGCGGCTATATTTAAAGATTAGAGCTTTAAAACATGACACAAGCAGAATTAAATTCACCTTTAACTGACCTCTCCAAACTCTACACACACACACACACACACACACACACAGGCAGACACTCATAAACGCACACACACTTATTTCCCTCACCTCTCTGAGTTTGTTGATCACACACGATCCGTCCGGTCTGGAAAAACCTTTTCCCGGAGCGTGGGATAGAGGAGCGGGACACACTGAGAAACACACTCCACATGTCTGAGCCGTCTGAGAAAACACACACAGACACACACACACACACACACGTGGGCTCGGTCAGACGAGGACACGCATGATCCAGCAGAACACACAGCAGAACACACACACATACACACTCAGGCCTACAGGGTGACACCTGCTGCTCTCGGACAACACCGCGATAACACACTGACCACTGAGAGAGGGAGAGAGTGTGTGTGTGTGTGTGACAGAGAGAGAAAGACTGAGAGAGTGACACACACAAAATCATACAGAGAGAGAGACATGTGTCGACACACACACACAATACACAGAGAGAAAACACACCACAAAGATACAAACACTCCTCATACACACACAC